AGTGATGGCGAACCTTTTTGAGCCCGAGTGCCCAAACCGTAATACATGCCAATTTTTTTTTTCCCTCAAAGTGCCAAAATGGCAATTAAACCTGAATATTGAGGTTTAAGTTTAGAAAAAACAACTCATACAGTTGTCCAAACTAATTAACATCTGTGTGTGTATTAAGCAGTTTGTGTGTGTGCTCGGCAGTCTGTCTGTATGTGTATTTAGCCGACTGCTGAATACACACAGACTGCTGAGTACACAGTCTGCTAAATACACACACACACACACACAGACAGACTGCCGAGTACACACACACACAGACAGACTGCTGAGTGTACACACACACAGACTGCTAAATACACACACTGCATTGAGGGGTACAGTGTATGTGTTTGTGTGTGGTGTGATGTGTTTGTGTGTGGTGTGATGTGTTTGTGTGTGGGGTGATGTGTTTGTGTGTGGGGTGATGGGTGGGGTGGTGTGTGTGGGGTGATGTGGGGTGGTGTGTGTGTGTGGGGGGTGGTGTGTGTGTGTGGGGGGTGATGTGTGTGTGTGTGGGGTGATGTGTGTGTGTGGGGGTGATGTGTGTGTGTGTGTGTTTGTGGGGTGATGTGTGGGGGCAGGGGTGCTGTGTGTATGTGGTCCCCTCTCTCCCCACTGTTTCTTTCCCTCCATCCCTCCCTCATTTTTTTCACCCATCCCACACTCAGTTTCCCCCAATCTCTCTCCCTCAGTTCCCCCATCTCTCTCCCTCAGTTCCCCATCTCTCTCTCCCTCAGGTTCCCATCTCTCCCTCGGGTTCCCCATCTCTCCTCAGGTTCCCCATCTCTCCCTCAGGTTCCCCCATCTCTCCCTCAGGTTCCCCATCTCTCCCTCTGGGTTGTCCCCTTCCCCCCATTTCTCCCTCAGGTTGTCCCTTCCCCATCTCTCCTCAGGTGGGTCCTTCCCCCCCTCTCTCCCTAAGGTGTCCCCTTCCCCATCTCTGCCTCAGGTTACCCTTCCCCCCCTCTCTCCCTCAGGTGTCCCCCCCCTTGATCTCCTACCTTGTAGCGTGGCCGAGCGCACCGCGGAGCTCAGTTTCCTGTACCCGGCGGACAGGAAGTGCTCTCTCTGTGAGCACTTCATTTCCGTCTGCCCGGGTACAGGAAACATAAGTTCCTGTACCGCGGTGCGCTCGGCCACGCTACACAGAGTGCCTGGCAGGAGGGAGCGCTATGCGCTCACCTCCTGCCGGTCACGCAGGTTTTGCGCCCGCCGGGCCGGTGCGACCTAAGGCGGCCACTTGTGCCGCCTTATGGATGCGCCGGCGGAGCGCACCCTCCCTCCCTCCGGCGACCTATGGCCGCGTGCCCACAGAGGGGGCTCGGCGTGCCACCTGTGGCACGCGTGCCATAGGTTCGCCATCACTGCCCTAGGGTGTCTAGTTTTCAAAAATATGTTTTCATGGGGGTAAATTGCATTGGCCAGCTTCAAAAATGTCCCAAATAAAACATGGGTGCATGATGACCAGCTGTGAAAATTTGAAGTTGAAAACTGGAATGCGCACCCTCCAAATAAGGTCTTTTCGCCCCCAGAGAACCACCTCTACATGGGTGGTATCACTGTACTCAGATGTTGCTGAACACATATTGGGGTGTTATTTGGAAGTAACCCTTAAAGTTCTCAGTACATGTATTCTTAAATTGCTATGTGTGACAAAAAAAAATCACCTATTATTATTATTTTTTAAAAATTTGGCATAGATTGGTTGTGAAATGGTTGCATTAAAAGAGTCAAAATACCCCAAGTTTAATACCTTAGGTCAGTGATGGCGAACCTATGGCACACGTGCCACGCTGGGCCCTCTATGTGGGCACGCGGCCATAGGTTCACCATCAATGCAGAGTATGCACCTGCCGGCCCAAAACGGCAGGCACCTACTCTGCTTCCGTGTCAGGAGGACGGGGGGGATTTGTGAAGCAGCTCCCCTGTCCTCCCGCGAGCGATATGTGTGGAGCGTTGCTGCCATGGCAACACCCGACACCACATTGCGCAGGAGGACAGGGGAGCTGCTCCCTACAATACTTTCCACCACCTGACCACCAGGGATGGCTGTGTCCCCCCCCCTCCTCCTTCATCAAAGGTAAGAAGGAGGGAGAGGGGGATACAGATTAGGCATACACTTTTTTTTTTTTACCACCCATACACCCCCTACCCCCACACACAGGGCCGCCATCAGGGGGTGTCACCCCCTGATGGCTGCCCTGTGTGTGGAGGGTAGGGGTGCTGTAGGGGTGGTATGATGGTTGTCACGGGCCCGGTGGTCCTGGGGGGGCCCGGACTGCTCTGGCCGTCCTGGGCCCACATTCCCTCTCTGCACACATAGATAGCAAATATCGCTATCTGTGTGTGCAGCTGCGGGCCTCCGGCTCCCTGTAACTGCAGAGGGGGCCCAGCACACCGTGACTGCACATTCAGCTCCTCTCTTCCAATAACTCTCGCGAGACCCGCAGCCTTCTGAGCGTTGCCATGG